TACGAAACATTTTTCTCTATCCCTACTAGTTTTCGAGATATTTGACTGGATCACTTCAGATGGTCCACCCTGTATATGTAAAAAGTATATAATTCCATTAAAAGAATAGCTCTCTTTCATTGGAAAATAATCTCTATGCAAACTTAAAAATTTTTCTTTCGAGAAACTGTTCTTTGTTCCCTTCAAACCATGTATAACTACTATTTGTCTAAAACATTTTTCCGTCTCTTTTCTATTTTTTTGGACAGTTAAAATAGGATACCCCATGTATTACGTGAACCAAAAATATTTTCGATATTTCTAATATTATATTCTCTTTCAATATATTTATAAACCTTTCAATATATAAACGTGCAAATAATTTTATATAAGAAATACAAATAAACTCTCTATTACATGAAAACCGACGCTTAAGTTAAATCTTTGACAGTTACTCGTTTGATTGCTAACTGTCGTCTTGTTGACACGCACAAGTTATTACTAAGTATGGATGCGGATATACAGCGAAATTAATTTAATTTTTAATTGATTATGTGTGTTCACGGTCTGATGGGTGAGTGATCTTTCAAAAGTTTTCATTTATTTTACATTCTTCCTTAATACCTTAATAATGGTTGGATTATTTATATAGAATTCATCTTCAATTTATTTGGTCGCCTGATCTGTTAATAAATGAAGCGGAATGATTGGACACTCTCCTATCAAACCAGCTAAGAATTTTAATTGTATATGGATCAGACACACTGAGGATGGCTCGAATGTAAGCCGAAACGTCTGATTTTTTCGTATTTAATAAATTATTTGCTCGCATGTGTGTGACTTACCGCGAAAAAACTTTCATTAGCAAATAATTTTATTTTAAAGATAAGGATACAAAACTTAAAAAACTTTTTTTATGATTGGTTCAACGTAATCAATGATAAATCTCTATTTTCACAACTTTCCTCGGACTTGATGGACAAATAATTATTTTTCTGTTTTTAGAAGATCCCGTAAACAATTTTAAATTATTAATTTGGCTTTCATCAATTCGTCCAAAACTTCCATTCCAAAAAGCAAAAAATCATCACTCTTCAATATTATTACAACATTTAATATAAGATATATGTAACATTTTATAATATTTTTACAACTATATTTACAAATATTAGGTGTTAAACTTAATTCCTGCCGTTTTTTCGTCTCCAAAATTAATTTATTTTGAAGGGAAGATGAATGAATACCTTAATTAAAGTAATTTCCTTCATTTTCTACTACTTTTTCCCATCTCTCTGGCAACAGGACAATCCCACGACAGTAGAATGCGGTGTCTTTCGAGACGACCCATTTTTGGACTTCGTTGTGACTGGAGAAGTGTGTGTCCGTAAGTGCTTGTTGCATCGATCGGAAGAGATGGTAATCCGACGGTGCCGAGTCTGGAGAGTACGCTGGATGCAGGAGAACTTCCCATTCAAGCTCTAGAAGTGTTTGCTTCACGCTTTTCGCGACATGCGGTCGAGCGTTATCATGCAACAAAATGACTTTGCGTCGATTATTGGCTACGAATGATCTTTTTTGCATCAATTCGTCACTCAATCGGTATAATTGCTGTTTGTAGTGATCAGCTATAACGATTTCATTTGGACCCAAGAGTTCGTAATACAGCACACCTTCCTGGTCCCACCAAACGCACAGCAAGGTCTTATGCCCGTGAATATTCCTCTTCGGCGTTGAAGCGGATGGTTGGCCGGGGTCCACACATGATTTTTTCCGCTTGGGATTATCAAAATAAATCCATTTTTCATCGCCAGTCACGATGCGCCACAAAAAACTCTTTTTTCTTTGCCTGGCAAGCAAAGAAGTCGCAATAGTCAAACGATTTGAAATGTCACTTTCTGACACTCATGTGGTAGCCATCTGCCTTCCTTATGGATCTTTCCCATGGCACGCAAGCGTTTTGAGACGGCCATTGGAGTAACATTTAACTGTTTCGACAACTCTAAAAACGTATGAGCTGGATTCTCATCAAGCAATTCTTGCAGCTCGACATCTTCAAATTTTTCCGGCTGTCCTGGACGTTCTTTGTCTCTCACATCAAAAGCACCGTTTCGGAAGCGTTCAAACCAAACTCTACATGTTCTTTCCGATGGAGTTTCATCACCATACACTTCGGATAATAAGCGATGCGCTTCAACTGTGGTTTTCTTGAGGTCGAAGTAGTGAAGAAGCACATGTCGGAAAAACAGCTTATCAGGATTCATTTTCAATCGATTGAAAAATCTTTTTGGCGTCGAGAAATCTAATCTGTGAGGATTGAATCACTTTCAACGATGTCTAAACTACAAAAGACATATGTCTTCATCGTCGAAACTCGCCAGCGTTGGAGCCAGCACCCTCTAGTAGCGAGCGGCAGGAATTAAGTTTAACACCATATAAAATATAAATTATATATAGAATATTAATAATAATATTATATATAGAATATTAATAATAATGTATACAATAATATTAAGAACTGTTTGCGCAATTAATTTCGATATAGTATTTCGGCAAAACGATAACAACATGGCGAATTATCTTAACGTTACATATATTTGCAAAGTTAAATTTGGAAAGAAATTGTTTGATAATCGAGAAAAATATTTTAATTGTATTATATTTAAAATATTTAGAAATATAATTTTGTATGAAGGAATCAAGTTAATCTGTAATATGCTTATAAAAATGCACAATTATTTCTAAATTTTAGTGTAAAAATGTGATATATTATACATTTAGCATGACAAAATTTTATGTAAAGAATCAAATGATTTTAAAATAATTATAAAATATCTTAAATCGGATTTGTCTAATTTTTAACAAATATTATTTAAAAACTTAATTTTAATAAAACTGCTGCGTTGTGATGAATTACCTTAGCACAATTATTTTTGTCAACTTATGACGGACTTCGTCAATTTATGACGTACTTCGTTATCGACTATTTCCTATTATTATAATGTTTCTACTTTGCATTTTTCTCGGAATAATAAAAAATAAATGTGACATTATTTGTTAATTAAACTGTTAATTATTTCCTATTGTTACTTCTTTGTTCATTATGAGAAATTGTGATCAATTTATGACGTATTTCGTTATTGACCATTTCCTGTGTTACAATACTTCCACTTTGCATTTTGCTACAGATAATAAAAAATAAATATAACATTATCTGTTAATTAGACTGTTAATTACTTCCTCATATTTATTACTTCTTCGTTCGTTATAAAACGAATGTACCGAAAGGGAGCAATCCAGAAGTTCGAGAATAATATTCGTCGTTACAGCTCTTGTTGATTTATCGACCGTTGTCTTCCCGAGTCTTCGTTCTGTTTGTGTGTGAGTACTTGACAGTAACGTAATAATTCCTTACTTAGTATATTGGGAGAAAAATTTTTTTTTGTAAAAAAGTTTATTTCCTTAATATCTGTAACATAATAAGAAAAGGACGACACTCGAAAAGAAGGAAACAGTTTCTACTTCCCTCTACTTGCCATGCCGTCTTTATTACATTATTGGTGGCAACTATCAATAAACGAATCTCACAGATAAAATTCAAGCTCAAAGCATTAAAAATAGATTTATATACTTGCCTGTTAGAAGTAACAAAATTTTCTACATTGTAAACAGAAACTTATTTCCACTGAAGCAAAAGAAAAGAGTTTGCCATAAAAGCTAACAATTTTACGACTTCAATTGCTCCTCTTTTGTCTTTCAATCGATCAACCAAAATGATCTATAGATGGTATTCAGTCTGTTCTTATTTTAAGACCGCTTTCTAGACGATATTCATAGCCCGTTCTTATTTTAAGACCGTTCTTATTTTAAGTAATGTCTTAAAATACGGCCCTTTGATTGGTTTATGAAATATTAAGTCTGTACTTAAGGGAGTTTTAAATATACAATTTGATTATAAATAATATGGTCTCTATCTTTTGTCACAAACAAATATTCAATCCCAATTTTTACTCATAATATGAAAATATTATCTGTTCTTTGTGGCTGAACTAATGTACAGTCAGCAACTAAAAGGTTGCAACACTTTTTTGTAATGGATTTCGGAATGCAACCTAGCTACTCATCGAGCGATTGGTTCTTACTTATGAATCCATAAATAATAACCAATCACTTGGTAAACAGGCAGCATTGCGAAACCCATAAAAAAAAGATAGATGCACTTAATTAAAAACTTTTTATTTAATATTATGTAATATTTTTTTAATGAAATATATATGTAACATATAAATTATTATTAAAACTCTGCAATATATATATATGTATATATATATATATATATATATATATATATATATTAAGAAAATATAGTAAATTTCTAAATTTTTTAATAAAATATTGGATTGGAACAAAAATTCATAGTGCTAATTTATTTATATGTATATCGTATTTACATATTTTTGAAAAGAAACTAGCAATTCAATACAGCAAAGTTAAGAATTTGTTTTTTAAATTATATTATGCGATGATTTTTAACGGAACTATGAGATATCAAAGCAAAAATGGAGCATGCTCCATTTATTTAACCGCGGTAACTCAGTAATAAGAAATTTTAAAAACATTTTTTGAAAACAGTTGTACAGAAAACTTTGAGTTTTCACATTAGAAAGTCTAAAATTTTTATAAGTTTTTTTTGTCAAAATAGACAATCCAGACAGCACACAAAATTTTTTGTAAAATATTTACAAAATATTTAAAAATATTTATAAAACTTATTTTAAATATTTTTTAATATTTTTGTGATTTTCTTAGGTTGCATAGAGCACAAATATTTATTATAGATATTATGAAATATTTATTGTAAATCTTATAGTAAATATTGTGGAAATACTTAACAAGACAAGTCAAAAATACTTACCAGGAATATTTATCTTAAATATTATACTAAAAATTTGGTTTATCTTTTAATAATATTTTGAATAATGCTTTATATAAAATGTATATGAAATATTTATATAACATTTCACAAAACGAATAATAACAAATATTTTTCATAAATATTCTGTGTTGTCTGGAAAAGTGAGAAGAGAATAATTCCCATTTTGACGAGTTTTCTACATGTAAAAATGATCAAACTCACAGAAAGTCAACAGACATAGTGATTTTTCGAAAGTAGCAAGCTTTTAAATTTTAAAAAGCCCTATTTTTTATTTAAATTTTGTTAATATTTAACGAAGTTTCAACTGTTTGAATTTTAAATCAAAATACTGTTTGCTACGAATTTTTGTTTCAATAGAATACAGATATTTCTTTTTATCAGTATAAATCTGGATACTTTCTCCTCGCCTCTCTCCGCCCATTAATTTTTAAAATTGAATTTCACTGCTTTCTTTATTTTTCATATTTTTTTGTTTATAATTGAAAAAAAGATTTTTATGCTTCTTAATAAAACACGTATGGTGCAAGACATTTTTTATCCTAAAACAGAATCCACATTTCATGTGGATTCTACTTTAGGTTGCAAATAACTTATTTATAAATATATCTATTAATAAATAATAAAATAATATAATACATTTGCATTTTTAGGATACTTGGACAAGTGATTCACATAATGAGGACTATTATATTAGTATTCGTCGGTTTGCTGTGCGCATTAATATTACCGTTTTCTGAAGGTAAGCTTTTACAATCTTTTTGAAAACTTACAATTCCATTCTAGACAGATTCTTCGTTTAATTTTTTTTGTAGATGAATTCAATATGTCAAAAAATAACATTTAAAAAATGCGTTTACCTTTTGGTAGATAAACATTTTTTATATGCCTACTATTTACAATATTAATGTTTTAAAAATTTGTATATGCAAAGTATACATTGCAGTTGAACAAGATAACGAATTAATTAATTTTTCTATGTTCTGATACTTACATAATAAAAATACTAGCATCATAATGCTGGTATTATTATAGAATGGTATATTTTCAGTATATATATATATAATGTATCTGAGCGGTACATATATTTATATTCGCAAATTTTTGATATATTAAATTGTAATTAGTTTTGAAAAAATTGTATTACGCTCCAATTACCGCGCTGACTTCTTACGGCTCTCTTTTTGTACAATTGTTTTGGTGTCTTTTCGATCATGATAGATCAGTTTATCACCTAATTTTTTATATTATTTTTCTATTACGTTACTTTTCTGTTAAACTACTGAGAAACCATAACAATATTGATACGTAGAACTGTCTGAACATAATCAAGGCCAGATCCTTTAAATCAATAGAACAAGGGTTTCAATCAAATATGTCGTTTAGCCATCTTGTCTGTAATTGATTTTATTACGATACATTCTATATGTTCTTCTTCTTTGATTCGACACTTTTGAGAAAAACATCATATCCCCTCCTCCCCTTTCTTTTTTCTGATATATGTTAAAATATTCGACACAATCATACCAGCAAACGTATTTATTTAGCGTATATTATCACGTATCTATATTGCAAACGCAATCCATTAAATACAAGATGAATCATCACTGAAATTCTTTGAACTCATTATGAACAAGTCATCGGATTTTAAGATGTGTTTATGACAAATATCTTTTCAAAGAACATGATTGAGATGGTAACTAGTATTTTAATAATTGAAAATCATATTTTTCTACGCGCCGCGAGTATTTAATGCATAATATAATATCCATTACACAATATAATTGATTATACGTAAATAATGAGATGCAGTATTTCATTGCAATCGTGGTCGTATAATTTTTGACAACGTATCTCACATTAATTTTTTTCTAACTTATGAAGCTTGAAACTTCTTTATTCAATAAACAGCGCTTGTTGAATAAAGAAGTTACAAGCTTCATAAGTGTATTATTTGCGTGACGTCTTCTGTGCTTGACTCCTAACGTCCGTATTCTTTCCAATTCTTTGGTTTATAAGTCTTGGTTAGTTTGATTTGTTATACGGATTTTTTCTAACTCTTATAAAAACCAATAAGCTCTCATGAATATGGAAATACATAACAACGTAAGACATTTTTATAAAATATTTATTTAATTCTTGTCTGTAATTCATACAATCCCCACCTTATTAATTTCCTCCGAATAAAGTTATATTTTAAGGTGAAGAACTTTAGACATGCACTAACAAGTACCAACATCTTTGGAAATAAAAAAATTGCAGATAGAATAAAGGTGCAACATTATCAGATTCTTTATCTATTTTGTAATCAAATTATTTCTAGAAGATCCAAGAGCTTAAAAATAAAAGTAATATCGTTAATTAAAGTAAATAAAATGTAAATAAAGTGTGTATTTTTGAAAATATTTCGCTTCAATGTGTATCAGTGCGCTCCTCGCCCAGATGAAGTGAATGGCAAAGTTCACGAAACGTTGACATTAGCAATGGATTACGACACGGTGATAATCCGCAAATGTTTAACACTTCTGAAGTATTTCGTTTAGTTTTAGTGTGAAAATTATTTCAGGAATCCAATGTTCTTGGAAGTTTGTATAATATGGAATTAATATTATTCTCAAATTTTGAATTGTAACATCTGCAAGACATTACTTCAACGAACGCTGAACGTTTCTACAATGCAGTCTTTTCAACGCTGAATTAGCCTTCATTTCACAATGTTATAATTTTTTCTGATATTTTGATTCAATATTAGCACGATATCATATTTGTAACGATATTTCTGACAATACATTATCAAAATCTCTGAATCAGTCTCAAAATTTATTCATAATAATGTTGTATACAATATTAATATACACATTTAACATTATATACAAAACATATTTGAAAACATCATATATTATTGACAATCGTTGTAATAACTTTGTAATAGTTATTTTCTGCTTATTGGATATGTTTGAGAAAAAGATGACCGAAGAATGTTACAAAAAGTTAATTGTAAAGCATATAAAAGAAAAAGGAAGTTAAAAATCGTGATGGTTGAGGTGGATCGAATATCTCGGTCACAAATAGTTTATTTATTCAATATGTATTGTTAAAAATTACGTAATAAATTTAAATAACAAAAGTTTGTGGTCAAGATGTAACCGAAAAGTAAGGAACGATTTAACTAAAAACTAAGTTACGATAGTCAAATGTAATGAACTTGTACATTAGATTTCATGCAAATTTACATAAAATTTTATGAAAAATACATTAAATTTCATAAAATTTTGTGAAATGTACATTACATTTTATGTACACAAATATACTTTTCAGTTTCAAATACATTCTATTTAATGGAATGTTATAAAATAAAATTTAACTTACGTAACTTAAAAATACAGCTTAAATTTCATGATATTTAGCCGCCACAATACAGAGGTTTAACGTGAACTACGCATAATTACTACTGTAACTCCATAATTTGCCATGTGGTATTCGCATATGTATTATTAACACAGGAAACTATTAAAACACTTCTGCTCACTATAATCCCGAAAAAGAAAGTATATTTGGGAACGCGTAAACATTGCGGTTCAAATGTAATAGTCAAGTGATACATAGAGTACCCTAGAATTGCAACTACATCTATATGTTTACTCTAATTCACGTGCAATATTGTCAGCATAAAACCGCAGCTAATGACCAGAGTTTTTTTTACGATCGGACTACGCATTGATTTGTGATGCGAATATTAAGAAGCATACGGCGTACTTTGAAAACATGCGCGCGCGCGCGGATACGCATTATTTACTACATGTAATATATAATATTTACTACATATTTTCTATATGCACGAACAAAGACAATAAAGCGAGGAAGAAAAGAAAAAAGCGGTGAATTGTATGAGAGAAATTGGGAAGAATATGAGAATGCGAAGAATCAAAGAATTTAATGTAAATCAAAAGTTCTTTGGCTTTAGACCAATAGGCCAACCAATAAAAATTATTATTATTATTATTATTATTATTATTATTATAGGCAGTACCATCGGATTGAAAAGTAATCGAAAGTTTCGTCAAAGCACGAATTCTGCATCCAATTCTTTGTCTGTACCTCAGTGCGGAATGAGTAATGTGGAGGTAGACAGAATCGTTGGTGGCACAGAAGCTGTGGCAGGGATAAATAATTTTTACATTATGGAGAAGCATTCAAATAGTGATGGGCGATGTTGCTTTGATTAATCAAAATCTGATGGTCTTTGTAGAGACCAAGTTTTCTCCCTATATACGGTTTTCATCTCAATTAATGAGCTATCCAATTATTTCAGACCCGATTGAATCGAACATTTTTAGTTTTTAGATTCGCTTAATCAGTAAGGGCCGGTTTCGTAGACATAGATGACATATAGTATAGCGCCGGCTATATCTTGCACGGCATACTATCTGTACTATCTCTATATGCTTCTAATCGACCAATTATACTATTTTATTTATTGTGATTGGTCGATTCGCATACTGCATGACCTTGCTGCTTAAATCTAAAGCGACGTCTACAATGAGACTTTTAAGGTGTAAACCTTAAGCTTTAAGCCATAAATCATAAGAAATTGACCGATCATAGTCATTCTTTCCACATTCAATTGATTAATTCAAATGATTAATTTTTAACGACTAGAGATTTAAAGCTTAAGTTTTACACACAGCAAAATCTCATTGTAGACACCGCTTTATACGTAATCTACAATGAGCAGTAACAGTAGTGGATTAAGGAGTAGGCGTAGAAATTGACCAATCATAGTTGATTATTATCTTCATATTTAACTATGATTGGTTGATTTCTACGTTTTAATCCACTATTGCTACTGTCAATTATAGACGTATTATACGTCTTCTACAATGGTAGTAGCAGTAGTGAATTAGGCTGTAAGAATAAGAATAAGAAACCAATTACAGTCGAATGAGAAGAATTGGCTGAGATCGATCAATTTCTTACGCTTACAGTCACATTATTACTGCTATTGCACATTGTAGACGACACATAACATCTTAAGACTTTCTATGTGCCATGGCCTAACTTGCTTGTATTTGTATGAACCAGTAGAAGCGTCATTACGCTTTTGTAAATTTTTGCGAGTATTATTGATTGTAATGCGATAATTAATTTTTTTCCCGATGTTTTGCAGAATAATCGCTTATTTTTTTTATTGAAACATTCAATTGTGCAAAATCGATCATTTATTTGGCCTATTATGTAATAAAACTGATCATTTTCACAATTTCCGTTCACAATCGTTCTTGCCCAACTTCGCCCATTACTTGATTCAAAGTTACAACACATCTTTCAATTGCTTATTAAATAATTTGTTTCAGAAATCAAAACTTTTTACAAAAAAATTTATCTCAATTTATCATAGAAACTTTAAAATCTGTTTTTTTTTTATTTTTAAAATACTTTGCAGGAGTATTTTTTTATCAATGTTATATTTTTGTCTTGCGATAATGTTGCAGCATCCTTTTGTAATACAAATAATTAAGAGTAAAAACTTTTTTCAGTAAATTAATCTCGAGAAATATAAATATAACGTATTATACATTTCATTTTTAATAGATTATGATATAATTATAAAATTCAATATTTAATAATTAAAATAGGTACTTATTTTTTTTAATTATAAAAAAGATTATATAAATGTAGTACATTAGTATTTGTTTCAACACGTGATTATTGTTGCAGCTATCAATGTAATAAACTAATTTTGCAGGTGAATTTCCTTGGATGACTCGTCTTGGGTATATTTTTGGTTTTATCGATGGTGAGCAGATGATGTCGTGGATGTGCGGTGGCACTTTGATTAGCCCCAGACATATCCTCACCGCCGCCCATTGTTTTTCTGAGATTCCTGATTTCCTTTTGGGCTATATAGCGCGCATTGGCGATGTAGATTGCAACAGTGACAACGATGGGGCAGATCCGGTTGACGTTTTCATCGAAGAGATAATAATACACGACGAATACAACGATCTTACCCATGAGAACGACGTGGCGGTTTTAAAAACAGATCGCAAGATATCATTTACAAGTAAGTTTTTATATTCTATTCTATTTTGTCTCCAAAATTATATTTGTCTTTTGAAGAAATAAAAAGCAATATTTTCCTTATGTATTAAACAAAATCGCGTGATATAAAATTTCTTAAGGACGTTCTCCGACTGCAGTTGTGCTCAACCTAAAGTTTACTCGCGTCCACGCAATCGCCCCTACACACAGAAAATATTAGTTGAGTATCACC